AATATATAGAGAAATTGCGTATATATATATATATATATATATATATATATATATATATATACATATACAGATGAGTTAAAAATGTAGATAGACGAACAAATACTTGTACTGACGTAAGTATTTTTATTCCTCAGGTGTTATAAAAACAATGATAGATAACGGTTAGAATCCACAACTGAAGATTGCATTAACTGCACGAAACTCCGAGTATTGTTATCGACGTTGGATATTACGTATATTGACTCATATATATACAATCAGAGTATACATAATAAAAGAAAATATAAGAAGTATAAGAAAAACAATACTCAGATCTGACTGCCAATAGCAATGTTTCAAGGTTCATGTGGACAACACGAATGTTATGCGGCTGTCTTACAATTTTGAAGTGTTAAATTCCACATTCACGAAGACAGTAATATCTGAGCATTATTTTTCGTATACCTATGATATATATATATATATATATATATATATATATATATATATATATATATATATATATATATATATATACGTACTTTTAAAATTAGGACGTCAGTTGAATCCGTTACCTTGCTTTCATCCTTACGGTATCCTCAGGCGACTATATATATATATATATATATATATATATATATATATTTACTTATTTATTTATTTATTTAACTAAAGAACGCTGCATTATTGATTTCAAAAATAAATAAAGAGACGCACGAGGTTGGGTGTAATAGAAAAGGAGGAGGAGGAGGAGGAGGAGGAGAAGAAGAAGGAGGAGGAGGAAAAGAAGAAGAAGAAGAAGAAGAAGAAGAAGAAGAAGAAGAAGAAGAAGAAGAGTATTGTAAATGCATTGGTGGGTGGGGGTGAATAGTTTTTTTTTTATCCAGTCTGGTATGCACTTAAGAAAATTCTGATATGCAAGCAATGACTTAAGACTCCGGATTTCTGGTTTAAATGGCTTACACGTAAAACAATCACAGCTATATTTACAACCTCAAAAGAATCATTCCCTGGTTTTTATTTAAATTTAATTTAAAACAAAGGGAAAAAAGAATTACAGTGGGGTTGTTGGAGGAAAACACCTTGATCTGACCCCTTTGATATATATTTGATGCAATACTTGATTAAATGAATTGATGACCAGATTTCAACATTAATATGACAGTTGAATTGTCGCAACAAATATATATTGTAAGGCACGAAACACTGATAGGTGATTTCTTGCTCAACTTGACTTCCATATTGTCTCATTTTGATCTTGCCGGTGTGATCTCCATCTTCTGACTTTCTCCTTCTATATTTTGGATAAGAATCATTCCCTTGTTCAAATTTTAATTTACTTTAAATCTAAGGAAGAAAAAGCTTTCGGTGGCATGTTTTTAGTGCTCCCAACCACGTGAACTTTCGTTGATCAAAATGAAATATACTTATCCAAATACAATGACTAATGTAGTTTCAGAATACATATGGTTATAGGGAACTATCTACACAACCCTAGGGGGAGTCCGATAACAAACAGATAGACTAAGAATACAACTTTATGTATTGTTGATCATTTTATTATGAAATGTTTTGATAATTTTACTATAGTACTTTAAAATGTAGAGAGAGAGAGAGAGAGAGAGAGAGTAGGAGAACTTATAAATGAATCGAAAGTGAAACCAGATATATTATAAAAAAGAGCATTTACTTAAATATTTGTATCTATGAAAAGAATATGTGTTGGTCTCTCTCTCTTCCTTCCTTCTGTGTGTTAGTCTCTCTCTTCCTTCCTTCTGTGTGTTAGTCTCTCTCATCCTTCCATCCGTATTTTGGTCTCTCTCTTCCTTCCTTCGGTGTGCTGGTCTCTCTCTTCCTTCCTTCTGTGTGTTGGTCTCTCCCTTCCTTCCATCTGTGCGTTGGTCTCTCTCTCCCTTCCTTCTGTGTGTTGGTCTCTCCCTTCCTTCCTTCTGTGTGTTGGTCTCTCTCTTCCTTCCTTCTGTGTGTTGGTTTCTCTCTTCCTTCCTTCTGTGTGTTGGTCTCTCTCTCTCCCTTCATTCTGTGTGTTGTTCTCTCCCTTCCTTCGTTTTGTATGTTGGTCTCTCTCTTCCTTCCTTCTGTGTGTTGTTCTCTCTTCTTTCATTCTGTGTGTTGGTTTCTGTCTCCCTTCCTTCTGTGTGTTGGTCTCTGTCTTCCTTCCTTCAGTGTGTTGTTCTCTCTCTTCCTTTCTTCTGTGTATTGGTCTCTCTCTTCTTTCCTTCTGTGTGTTAGTCTCTGTCATCCTTCCTTCTGTGTGTTAGTCACTCTTCCTTCCTTCTGTGTGTTAATCTCTCTCTCCCTTCCTTCTGTGTGTTAGTCTCTCTCTTCCTTCCTTCTGTGTGTTGGTCTCTCCCTTCCTTCCTTCCTTCCTTCCTTCTTTCTGTGTGTTGCTCTCTCTTCTTCCTTCCCCTTCTGTGTGTCGGTCTCTCTCTTCTTTCTTTCAGTGTGTTGGTCTCTCTCTTCTTTCCTCTGTGTGTTGGTCTCTACCTTCCTTCCTTCCTTCCTTCCTTCCTTCCTTCTGTGTGTTGGTCTCTATCTTCATTCCTTCTGTGTGTTGTTCTCTCTTATCCTTCCTTCTGTGTGTTGGTCTCTCTCTTTTTTCCTTCTGTGTTGGTCTCTCTCTCCTTCCTTCTCTGTGTTGTTCTCTCTCTTCCTTCCTTCTGTGTGTCGGTCTCTCTCTTCCTTCCTTCTGTGTGTTAGTCTCTCTTCCTTCCTTCTGTGTATTGTTCTCTCTCTTCCTTCCTTCTGCGTCTTGGTCTCACTTTTCTCCTACTTTGTGTTGGTCTCTCTTCTTTCCTTCGGTGTGTTGGTCTCTCTCTCCCTTTCTTCTGTGTGTGGGCCTCTATCTTCCCTCTTCTGTGTGTTAGTATCTCTCTTCCTTCCTTCTGTGTGTTGTTCACTCTTCTTTCCTTCCGTGTGTTGGTCTCTCTCTTCCTACTTCTGTGTGTTGGTCTCTCTCTTCCTTCCTTCTGTGTGTTGGTCTCTCCCTTCCTTCCTTCCTTCCTTCCTTCCTTCCTTCCTTCCTTCTGTGTGTTAGTCTCTCTCTTCCCCTTCCTTCTGTGTGTTGGTCTCTCCCTTCCTTCCTTCCTTCCTTCCTTCCTTCCTTCTGTGTGTTCTCTCTCTTCCTTCCATCTGTGTGTTGGTCTCTCTCTTCTTTCTTTCTGTGTGTCGGTCTCTCTCTTCTTTCCTTTTGTGTGTTGGTCTCTCTCTTCCTTCCTCTGTGTGTTGGTCTCTACCTCCCTTCCTTCCTTCCTTCCTTCCTTCCTTCCTTCCTTCCTTCCTTCCTTCTGTGTGTTGGTCTCTCTCATACTTCCTTCTGCGTCTTGGTCTCACTTTTCTCCTACTGTGTGTTGGTCTCTCTTCTTTCCTTCTGTGTGTTGGTCTCTCTCTCCCTTCCTTTTGTGTGTTGGTCTCTCTCTTCCTTCTTTCTATGTGTTGGTCTCTTCCTTCCTTCCTTCCTTCCTTCCTTCCTTCCTTCCTTCCTTCCTTCCTTCCTTCCGTCTGTGTGTTAGTCTCTCTCTTCCTTTTTTCTGTGTGTTGGTCTCTCTCTTCCTTCTGTGTGTTGTTCTCTCTCCTCGCGATATATATATATATATATATATGTAATAGAGAGACAGAGAGAGAATTTATGAATGATTCACAAGTGAAACCAGGTATATTGAAACGGCCGTGAAGATTGAACACACGCCATAATTGTAATAGTCGGAAAGACGATTTTTATCACAATTCCTCCATTACTAGAAAATATATTTCTTCTGCGTTTCTGCTTGTCTTCTCGCGTCTCTCTCTGTCTCGCCTCCTGTCTTACTTCTTTTGGCACCTCTCTCTCTCTTTCTCTGTCTCCCCTACTTCTGCGCGTATGTGTGTCTCTGTCTCTCTGTATAATTTCCTTCTGCGTGTGTCTTTCTTTGTCTTCATTCCTCTCTTTTACGTCTCTCTCTCTCTCTCTCTCTCTGCCTTCCTTCTTTCCTTGTTTCCGTCTCTCTTTCTCCTTTTTTCTCCTTCTGTCTGTGTGTCCGACTCTCTCTCTCTTCCTCTCTCTCTTTCTCTCACTCGTTCTTTCTTCTATGTGTGGGTCTATCTCTATATATTCTTCCTTCTCTCTGTGTGTTTCTCTCCCTCTCTCTTTCTTCAATGTATGGTTTTCTCTCTTCCTTCCTTCTGTGTTCGTCTCTCTCTCTTTCTCTTTATTCCTTCTGGGTTTTGGCCTCTCTCTCTCTCTCTTCATTGATTCTGTGTGTGTTGGTCTCTTTCTTTCTCGCTCCCTTGCTTCTGTTTAGATTTCTCTTTCCCAAACTCCCTTTCTTTTGTATGTATGCGTGCCTCTTCCTCTTTCTCTGTCTTTCCTCCATTTTACGTGTATTTCTCTCTCTCTCTCTCTTCCTTTCTTCTACATGTTCGTCTCTCTCTTTCCCGTTTCCACCTTCCTTCTCTGTGTGGGTCTCAATCTTTCTTTCATTCTCTTCCTTCAGTGTGTGCGTCTCTCTCTCTCTCCTTTTACCTCTTTCCGTCTGTGTGTGAGTCTCTCTCTCTCACTCGCTTTCGATAAGCGAAATATATATATATATATATATATATATATAAGCGAAACATGCTTGTAGGTGGATGACTATGCTCTCGTTAGCCGATTGAGCACTATAGGGAAAGAGTAATTTTAAAAACTGTTGCTGCTCCTGCTATTAACCTATCGCACTTCAATTGTGAATTAATCGTTATTGGCTAATGCCGTTTGTGTACATCACGTATATAATACGTTCAAATTTTCTTTTCTCTGCCGTGCGTCGATAGCTTAGGGATAGAATCTCTGACTGACGCCAAATCCGCCGAGATTCATTCTCCGTTTGAAGCAATCTGATGTCTAGCCATATTGATAAGGTGTGATAGAGAACGAAACACACTTGTATGTGTATGACTATATATATATATATATATATATATATATATATATATATATATATATATATAGTAAAAAAAAAAAATAGTAAGCACGACTGGTTTAAGGCCAATTCTTGAATAATTTTTTTTTACACATTTTCGAAAAATTGAATTTGTAGAACTGGTAATAAAATCCATGAGACACTACCTGACAAGAACGTAAGGTCAGAAACCCGGGTAGTGCGTTTCGCGTGGATTTTTCCTAATCTTATATCACACACACACACACACACACACACATATATATATATATATATATATATATATATATGTCTGTGTGTGTGTCCGTGAATATAAGAGGACACTGCTGTCAATTTCTGCTTGTGGGGTTCCGACAACCTCATTCAGCTTTTTATGTTTGTGTCGTATGTGACACTTCAATCCCTCTAGGGACCAGCCTACAAGTCCGCATATAGTGCCACAGCGAGAATCTCGAGACATAGCCACAGAAATATTTGCTGACGTTTTTCACCGTTGTCATTCGTCTCTTAGCCGGTCAATACGACTGATTTGGAAATTTCTGATACCACTTTGGCACATATATCTTCAGTTATTTCGCTCGAACTTAGTATGAAAGACATTGAAAGCTGAAATAGTGCTCTTTAGCTTATCTTTATATCTGAGCGACGGACGTCCAACAATCCTTCGGTCACTGACAACCTGGCTGTACATGAGGACCTTAGGTATTCTGTCGACACTCATCCTGGCACCATAACTATCCCAGCGAATTTGTGACTGCATCAGGAAAATCTCGATTCCACCAACGTTGCATTTGTATGAATATATATATATGTATATTTGTATGAATATATATATGTATTTTGCATGAATACATATATTATTTGTATGAATATATATATATATATATATATGTATATTTTATGAATATATATATATATGTGTGTGTGTATATTTTGTATGAATATATATATATATATATATATATATATATATATATATATATATATATATATATATATATATATATATATAATATAAAGAACAGTAAGATATATAATCCGCTGTTCTTATAGATATTTTATTTTTTACAAAATAGTGCTCAATGTAAATTTACAGAGCATTAATATTCTAAATTAATTGATTTAAAATATGTTTTTTTTCGCATATTTTAAATCAATTAATTTATAATATATATATATATATATATATATATATATATATATATATATATATATATATATATATATAAAAAAGGAAGAACAATAAGATATAAAATCCGGTGTTCTTATTAATATTTTTAATTTTACAAAACAGTGCTCAATGCAAATTTACAGAGCATAAATATTTTAAATTAATAATATGTAGAAATATCCACTCTTTACCTGATGAAGATCATGTGACCAGAAACCCGTGTAGCAAAGTTATGGAAAAATAAAGCATAATATTAAAAAAAAATCAACATTACAACCAAAAATGATTGCGGTTTCTCTGTTCTTTTTAATATATATATATATATATATATATATATATATATATATATATATATATATATTATTTCTTTCTAGTTCACAGCTACCAGCACCAGGAATTTTTTCCTCTTGATGATGGCCATGTTGGTCGAAACTAGTCGAGGAATCTAAATGAAAGAAGAATAAAAACGAAAGAATAGTAATATACAAACCAGTACGTCTAAACATTTTAATTTTTTTTATATTTTTTATTGTTCAATATATATATATATATATATATATATATATATAGGACTCACCCGCTTCTTTCATCATTCAGTTTTTATGTTTGTCATATGTGACACTTCAGTCCCGCTAGTGATCTGCATACAAGTTCACATCTATTGTGCAACAGGGAAAGATCTCAGTACATGAGAAAAAAGAATGTTTATTGACGCCTTTCGCCGTCCTTTTCGCCTCTTAGCCGGTCAATACAACTGATTTAAACATTTCTGAAAGCACTCTGGCACAAATATCTCCAGTTATTTCTATCCAGGTCAACTCGCTCGAAGTTAGTAGGAGGTATATTGACCGCTGAGAGGATACTCTTTAGCTTATCTTTTATATCTGAGCGACGGCCGTCTACAGTCAAGCTGGCTATACATGAGGATGTTACTTATTCTGTCATCACACATCCTGGCAACATAACCAGCCCAGCGAAGTTACGACTGCATCAGAAATGTTTCAGTTTCACCAATGTTACATTTTGCGAGAAGGTCAGCATTGGACACACTCTCATCAAAAGTATAGCGAAGGGCCACGCTATATATAAGTTAGTTCTCTGATTTTTTTTTATTACCAGATCGACGTGTACCAGTACTTGAACCGCTACAGATTAGAGAGAGTGCAATGGTTATTAATCTGGAATTGGCGTACCGGGTTCCAGTTCAGGCTGACTTTCATTTTGTTCCTTTTACAATAACGCCGTTTGGAAGTACACGAAACCTTATCTACACCCTTTTCCAGATAACTTTAAAAATACACCCACTTACAGACACAGAAAATAAATTAGCCAAATAAACAAGTGGACAACAAAATCTTTTATAACTATTATGTTGGTGCAAAAATAATGTCGTTTTTTGACGTTCAACTTAACATCAAAAAACGACATTATTTTTGCACCAACATAATAACTTATGCAGGCCTAACAGTAAATAAAACCGTTACACACAAGTCCCGGACGCAACATCGCAAGACTCTCGCTTGTTAATTAAGCATTAAACTAAGCAAGGCAATAAAGCCACTAAGACACAAGGAGTTACTGAGTGTTAGAGAATATGATAAAAATATATTAATAAGGTGAGGAGTATGAAAGAATAAGAATTAAGAAGATAGAATATAACGATTGACATTGCATTTACCTTTTCGAAGATTACAGTAAAACTGGAAAGCAAAAATTGCGATAGAAGAAGCTGTTAGCATAAAACTTACGTTTACATCTCGGCATTTCAAAAGTAAAATGACGAGACCTAGTCGCCAATCTAGTACTGCGCTTAAATTCGTAAAGTCTTGGTATCGTAGCGGAAAGCTCAGCAGAACACTGACCATGAAATATTTATAGAAAAGGCACAGGGGAGTTACATTACTGCGGAGAGAAAATGCCTGAAGCCGAGATACCAGATCAGAACCAATAACATTGCAGATTGTTCGTTGTTGGTATTTTCTTTTTTTTTTTTTTTTTTGGTCAAGAATCTCTAGACACATAGAGGCAGAAGGCCAAATGTGATAGAAGTATTTAAGGAATGGAAAAATGGCTTTCCCAAGAGAAGCAAATTAGCGGGTATGGTTGACACAAGTCATGGATTTAGTTTAATAAAAACACACAGACAAACAAACAAAAAACAGACGACTTGTTGAGTCCAAATTAGTGTCGATAATTGTGGCAAGCAAACGATAATTCCGGTGATCAAATTTATAAATAAAAAACGAAGAAAACGAAAGTGTGTCTAAGTAAGAAGATGATTGCGTCTGATTTAAATGTCATTCTTTTTCTTACTGATTACTTCATTTTTATTTTTTATTTTCTCCTTTCATGCTTCTCTTTATTTTGTCATTCTTTTTTCTTTTTCTGTTTTCTTCTTTCGTCCATAATTTTGCATGATGATTGGTAAACGTTCCTCTATAATCTGCCCTTCATTTTCTCTTTTTCTTCGTCAATGTTTTGCTTTATGCTTGGTAAACGTTCCTCTATAATCTGCCCATAATTTTTTCTTTTCCTATATTTCTTCGTCGCCCGTGCTTTCGATTCGTGCTTGGTTCAAATTCATCTATAATCCGACCTTCATTTTTTTTCTTTTTCTATTTTTCTTCGTCCGTCCGTCTTTTTGCTTGCTGCTAGTTTAAAGCTTGTCACTATTCTATCCTTCTTTTTTTTCTATTTTCTTCTTTCGTCCATAATTTGGCACGATGATTGGTTAAAGTTCCACTCAAATCTCACCTTCATTTTCTTCTATATTTTTTCGTTCGAATCCGCCTTTCATTTTTTCTTTTTCTCTTCTTTCGTCCACATTTTTGCATGACGATTGGTTAATACTCGTCTCTTTCCTTTACGTCATTTTTCTTTTTCTATTTTCTTCTTTCGTCGTTGGTTTTTGCTTAACGCTTTATCGAATCTCGTCTCTTTCCTTTACGTCATTTTTCTTTTTCTATTTTCTTCTGTTATTCGGGTTTTTTCTTCATGGTTGGTCGAAGTTCCTTTATAATCTGCCCTTTATTTTTCCTTTTTCTACTTTCTTTTTTCTTCCCAGTTTTCGACTGATCTTTGGTTACAGCTCCTCTATATATTCTTCATTCCTTTTTCGTTTTGTATTTTCTTCATTTGTCCGTGTTTTTGCCTGCTGCTAGTTTAAATATTGTCTATTCTATACTTCCTTTTTCTACTTTCTTCATTCGTCTGTGTTTTTGTTTGATGATTGGTTAAATCTCATCTCTATTTTGGCCTTCATTTTTTTTCTTTTTTCTTCTTTCGTCCATGTTTTTCCTTGGTGTTTTCTTAAAGATCCTTTGTATTCTTTCCTTCGTTTTTTCTTTTTCTATTTTCTTTTTTTCCTCTGTGTTTTTGTCTGTTGCGTCTTCAAATCTCGTCCCTAATCCTTACTTTGTTTTTTATCTTCTCTCTTTCGTTCGTGTTTTGGCTTGATGTTTAGTTAAAGACCGTGTCTATTCTGTCCTTCATTTTACTTTTTTCATTTTCTTTCGTCCGTGTTTTGCTGTGCAATGTCTATTTTCTTAGTTCTTCTATTAACTGCCTCCGTCCCGCGAACCTTTTTCATTCCTTACTATTTGCATTTCTTTCTTTTATTTATCTACCCCCACCCCCGCGATTTTCATTCGTTCTCGTTTAAATCCCGCAGAAAACACCGGTTCTCATTAGCTCACCGAAATTAAACTACGTCGAGTCTGTTCACTACTTAAATAGGTGACCACTTGTAAACCCCAGGTACTGTAAGTAATTTCCTACAAACCGAAATGTTTTGGCTTTAAATAACCCGCAAATGGTTGATAATCCGTAAAATACAAAAAGAAAAAAAACAGCAAAAAAAAAAAAAATACAAAACAATCAATACACCCATATTCATTCTCTTCCTCTTTTAATCGCT